TAGAAACTATTTTTACTAATTAGTCATGACTTCTTGTCCTTTGAGATTAGGCATGTCTTTATGTGGAAGGCTACATGTTGGGTCTGCAGAAATATCTTTTAAATTGATATATGGCAAAAATGCAATATCCAGGTGGAGAAGCTGCAAATGGGTTTCAAACACCATCAATCTTGGAAACTATATTGAAGTAAAAATTCAAATCTGTTGAGCAAAGATGGTTTGGCATATCAGTTACACAGTTATCTGTAATAAAAAACAAATCAACAGAATGATTTTTCCCCCAATCAAAATTGGATTTAGGGTTGGAGTAATGGCTAAAAACTGTTCTCACTTAAACATATTTGAAGTCATATGATAAGGTTCTTCTCAGAATATTTTTGTAACCCAAAGTGACTCAACATTTTTCTTTTAAAATAAGGTATAGGTTAAATAAGCATTTATTTGCTTTTGGGGACATGTTTGTTTGATTTAATGCCGGTGTGTCTTGAAATAACCTATGGTCTTTGTCACAATACGATTGATGCATTGCTGGTCTTTAAATTGTTTGTTATCATGAAGAAAACAGAAAAAACAAATAGTCTATTTCAATAAACAATAAAAAGTTCACTACAAACTACAAAAAGGAAAGTTAACAGGCCTGCAGTCTATATCATGATGATTACACATCTAGTCACTAATCCAATGATCCACCATTAAAACTTGAAAGATACTGCAACACTGTCACTACAAACACTATTAACTTATTGGCTACAAAACAAGCCTGCCATATGTTGTCTGTTGGCTCAGAGTCAGACAGCAGCAGAAACACTTCTGCTAAGTACTCCTTCTGCTGCTCCTTAAAGCTTCTCTTTCAGTCAGTTTCAGAGCAGAATTTCCAATCAATCAGTCAATTTTACTTTTGCTAACTCTAAAGCATAAAGCATACAGTACCTTTTATGAAAGGTGATGCACAAACAGCAACTTCCTGTTGTAGTTCTTACAGAAAACCTCGCAGCAGCTTGCTCCTCAAAAGCGGCCTTCCGTTGTCCTCTCAAGTCTGCACAATCATCTGTTGCATGCCAGGTCACTTTATATACTGCAAAGGGCGGGTTAAGCTGTGCATCGACTCATAAACCTTAACCCAAGGCCCATAATTACTGTTTCTCTCGGTCCTCAAGCTGATCACCAACCGGAGACTGTCATTAGATGAGAGCGTGATGGCTGTGGGTAACATGTAGGTTCACCGAACGCATTGTCCAAGTGCTCCACTCACCCTGAGTGTGCTACAAAGGATCATTCACCGTAAATTAAAGGGTTTAGACGTGACTTGACTTGATCTGGCTCCACCCCTCACTTTTATGCAGGGGCCAGCTCAGAGGTCAGGGATTGCAAAGCCGCATAGCACCATTTTTAGAGACTTTTCTTGTTTTATAACAGGAAACTTTTCAAATTTTCAAAAGGAAATGTTAAAGTTTTCCTTGACTTCAATTGTGGTTATTAATTTAGATAATTTATTTATTCAAACATACAATTGGAACTTTGACAAATATATTTAGCTGGCAGGTATTTTTGGGCAGATATGAGCCGCCATATCACAGATCAGTACCAATGTACATAATTTCAAAATATGATATGTTAACTGTTAAACATAAAATTGAATGACAAGAATATTGCTTATTGTTTAAAAAAACAAGCCGATCCATGAAAAAGAATCACTTTTGCACACTATTAAATTCCCAACTGTCCACTATATCTCATATATTGGTGAACTTCTACCTCTTAGTCACTTTCACATATCATTGGGCTCTATATGATAAGCTCTAAACCGATCTTGTGAAAAAAATAATCTGAAAATTCTGTACATTGATCAATTATGATCATGTGATGCCATGATTAACAGTCGGTCCCAAAGAATAATGCATTCTTTGCGTTGCGCACTTTTATGACAGAAAAGTCAGTCGGCTGGTCCTCCTGAACAGACTGTACATTGCCTGATTCAATTAAATATTAGTATGGTTTGAATTGAAGTAATCTTTTGGTCCTTTTTTTGCCTGTATTAGATAGGACAGCTAAAGAGAGACAGGAAATGTTGGGAGGAGAGAGTGGGGGATGACGTGCAGCAGAGGGCGGATTTGAACCCATGGCGGCTGTGATGAGGACTATAGCCTCCATACAAGGGGTGTGCAACATAACCGCTATCCGGCAGCCCATGGTTTGCAATTTTCAACAATAAAACACTATTTTTGTATTTTCCAAATCACACTTACTAGTACATTTTTGTCAGATCATGTATTGAACTATATTTTTTTCCTTCAAGATTTGAGGCTTGACCTAAGAAGACATTACAAATTGAAGATGACAGTAGTGCACAATTTACATAGTTTTTTTTTCTTCCTTCAAGTCCAAACATTCTCCATACTGATTGCTACATCTGTAATTGGAGAACTTTTAAATCTACATCATTATCCAGTGTTGGCCAGACTCTACATTACATAAGCTCTGGAATTATTATATTAACATGCCAAAAGTTATTAGAGCTTATTAAATATCCTAAAATACAATTTGAGTTTACTTTTGGCTCCTTGAGCAACATTTTTAATCCCAGAAATCTACTTATGATTATTTGTCCCTGCTCTTTCAATAAAGTGTTGCTCAAGATTTGCACACATTTCAGCCAATTGGTTTCAATGACTTCTTCCGTGGCTTTACACCAGTTGGGTAAAATAAATCTCTGCTAATTCTCTACATAGATTAACAATATGAGTAACATGTGATGTCATGTTTAATCAATAAATCCCAAAGAATAAAGCCCTCTTTTCATTATACAAGTTAAGGACAGAAAGTAAAGTGGGTTTTCTATCTGAAAAAACATCCTGTACATTTCAGTAGAATCAAATATATTCATGGTTGAATATCAATCAAACAATTTTCCAGATGTTTTTAAAACTTTTACAACCATGAAAATAAGATACCTACTTTAACTTTGTCATGGCCATTGACCACATTATGAACAATATCAAATACTTTAATACAAATAATACAAGTTCTTTATAACATTAGGTTTGCTTTCACCTGTTGAAAGATTTCACAGCAAAATTGCTTCACAATCTACCTAGAAAAAGTCTACTTTCACTCTGGCTGAACATTTGCCACTATATACTTTTACCTCCAAAATAATATCCCTTTAAAGTCATGTTCTTTGTTTGATAAGCTCTAGAAATATAATAATAAAATTCCAATAGTTATTTTAAGTGATGTATAACTTTAGAATATACCAATTTCTACTTTTGGCTGCAACATAAAAAAGTCAATTTATATTGATGTATATATTTATATGAATATTGACCTCATTTCCCTTTTGTCCCTCTAGGCATTGCTCAGGATTTACGCAGAATAATAATTTCCCTAAATTCTTATTGGCACTAAACCCAACTTGTGAAAGAAATCACTGCAAATTCTGTGAAAAAAAAAAAAAGGATTGGAATTATGTGTGATGTCAAGACTAGTGCACTAAGCCCGAAGAATAAAGATTATTTGAATTACAAACATTAATAATGTTTAAAAAAAATGAAGAGGGAAACTGTATTTATAACTAAGCTTACTGTTGTAAGAATGGCTTTGAATGTGCAGTGGGACAGCTACCTTCCCACCATGCATTGCCTTGCATATGTTTTCAAACCCCTTTGACTTTCACCCATTTCATAATGTAAAAACCTGGAATTCAAACAGACTTTTTTGGGGTCTTTTTCAGTTTTATCAACAAACAAGAGCTGTACACAAAGCATACATTTTTTATTACTTGATGTCAATGGGTGCCACCTTCTTCTTGGATCTTATTGGTTTGACAGCCAAGCACATCCATTTATTTTACCCACTTTTAATCATCAAATAAAATACTTCATCCTATTAAAGAGTATTAACTATTTTCTGTCGGTCAATTACAACTTATTAAAATCATCTAGTAACATGAAAACATCGGTAAAGTTCATGGGGGTTGAGAAATGAAAATCACTGCAAAACAAAGTGCAATGTTTTTTCCAACTTTCAGATCAAAGAAAATACTTTAACCTCTCAAGATGATATTTTCAAAACAGCTCAAAGTTCCATCATATGGATCCTGATATCCTTAACAGTAAACCTTTACCTCTGAAATGTCCCAAGCTCAGGAACTGCAATAGAAATCCAAAAGAATTTACAACTACGGTAATTTAAAAAAACTAGAAAATCAAGTTTATTTGGCTGAAATGACAATATCTCCCACAACATTTTTTTTACTTGATTTTCCCCCCCATACCTCCTTTCACAAAGGTAATCCCCATGATTTCCACCTACTGCAGGAGATTCAGATGTTTTACAAAAGACATCTAGACAGTCTGTACATAAGATAAAAAAAATAGAAGCTTGTTATGTCAAGATAAGTGTATTTATCAAAAGAATAAAGCTTTCATTTGATTACACAAGTTGATGACAGAAAGTCAGCTTTGCAATTTTTTTTATGTTTGCTCACATAATGATGTTAAATTGAAATAAGACTGTTTCAACAGGAAGTGTGTATTTTCACACACACACACTTCCTGTTTCATTATGATTTACAAGTAGAAAAACATAATAGCTCTCATCTACTCCTACGATGCTACTATGACTTTAAGATTGCTCATAGGCAGCATTCCACAATTTGCATCTCTTAACACACACACACACACACACACACACACACACACACACACTCACACACTCACACACTCACACACACACTCCATTCCTACACCACTTATTGCCTCAAAACTAAAAGTGTATCAGGTCTACCTTGATGAATAGCCACATTTGTTTAGCTTCTACCACAAGTCCTTTATCCAGCTACGCACCTTTGATGGCTTAGCTAACAGGTCCGAAAACCCTCAATGTGTAAGAATAAATAAAAAAGTCGTATTCGAGGCTGGTAAGGTATGAGCTGATGAAAGTGGCTAGCTTGTGAATAGTCAGGTAAATGAGCTTCTTATTAGCCGTGTGAGTTAGCTTACCCGGTGATGCTGCTTGACGTCAACTGTCCTCAACAACAGCGTCCGTTTCGGTTCCCACTCAGCGGAGATGTCACATGAGGAGAAAGTAGATGTCAGACATGAGCGGTGTATAGTATCCGGCAGGTTCAGTCATTCACACACTGACGAGTTGTTTTATCTCCTGTGTCGTCCTCCCATTCAAACAAACCTCTCAACAGCGGCAGCAGCAGCAGAAGCGTGGAGGATGTGAAGGGGTCATCTTCAGCAGTGACGTCGACGGTGGTGTCCGCTTTCAAAATGACCGTGTCGCCCTCATGCGGTGGAAACTGTGTACTGCACTGTGTACTGCAATACAGAGGTCAGAGGTGCAGGGCCTACATACTCGGTAAAAAATAAATATTGAGTATTTCTGCTGTTTCCTGTACAATTGATTACAATTTTTTGTATTTGTGTTGCTCTTTGTTTCATGCTTTATAAGCCGTATGCTTCATTCATTCCGCTTTTACATTTGACTTATTATTTGATTCTTAGATTTATGTTTATGATGTTGTCATGCTCATGCGTACATTTTAAGTTTGTGTCTTTAATATAAAGCACACTGAGTTCACTTGAAATCAAACGTGCCTCATGAATAACGTGAAATAAACTTTGCCAATTGCCATTTACAGTATAATTGAATACAAATCGTATTAGCCTATATTATGCATACAATATTAACAATGCTAAACTATACTTTTCTTAAATGTACTGTTCTATACTTTATAGTAAATGATCAAAAACATCAGATTTGCATGCTGCATGTGTTATATAACTTACTCTGAATATACTTTATATCTCACATGTGAAAATATACAATCTATTATTGTACAAGCCATTTTTTTCCACAAAATTGTTATTATATTATGCAGATGTTTGAAATGCTTCGTAACAACATTATATGCTACTGTTGAAGTAAGACAAGTCAAATAACCCACTTGTACAGGAACAGACTGAAGAATCCTGGAGAGGGTCCTGAAGTCAGCCCTACTCTTCACAGGGAGTGCATAGAAGGATTTCATCCATCCACAAATATAGTTTACTAAACTACACTTGGCTATTGCATGTGTTACATGTAGTTTAATGTAAGAGCGTGACAAAAAAAATATCTTGAATCTTGAATTCTAAATGTATTGTGCTGTGTGTATTGATTCAGACCTACAGTAGACTGGCTGACTGGCTGCTATAAATTACACCACTGTCTCTCAAGAGTATTCTAGGCCCTAGAGTTTAATAAACACGTTTTCTTGATTGTCCAATAACAGTACCTATAGGTAAAGTGAACAACGACAGCATCTGTAGTTGAGATAAGGCAAATTGCCCTCGGTCAGTTTGTGAGAAAGAAAATCACAAATGCCATATAGATCGTATAGTGTGGTGATGATTAACTTGTAGTACAAAATATATTAATAAAGAGGACGGTGCATGGGTGTAGATGTTTCACTTATCTCTCTTGCTTATCAATGAAATGTTGAAAACTACATTTTTATTTTATTTATTTATTAGAATATTTTTAACTACCAAATTAGAAATAACACTGAACAGCATATGTCTCATTAGATTAAAAAAAAATAGATATTCAAAATGCAATGACTACACACGCTCTCATAATGATCAGAAGCTGATCGGTGATCACGTGATCGATATTTCGCCCCGCCCCCTTTGACAGGCGGAAGTCGTTTTTGATTGCGGAAGTGTACATGTACTGTAGGCGCTGCCTACCGTAACAATCTGGTTTAGGGCGCTATACATTTTGTCGTGTTTCGATCCAGTTGTGTGTAAGCCCGTAGGAGCTTCAGTCTACAGCTCGATCGGGTAAGAATGAAGACCAAGTTAACCTGATTGTTGTTAGCTTCTCTTTTAGCTTTTTGCTAAGTGAGCGCGGCTAACGCGATGTCGTTCAGAAACATTGATCTCTGCAGTGACAGGTTAGCTAGATACCAAGAGCCTGAAGGGAAAACATGTGTATACATATATTTTGCTTTCTGTGGAGAATGCCAGAAGACTGATCGACCAAATACATGTTGAATTAGATGAAAGAAACGTAGTGTCAGTAAAGGGCCCTCCGTCTTATCTACCACCCAACATTTAAATCTAAAAGTTTGACAATATTCATAAAGTAATACTGTTTTAAACTATGCTTTTTGTTTTATTCTATCGGTTTTCATTAGTTTACTCATGGATCAAACATTTTCAAACGAGTACTGGTGAAGATAGTGTTTGTAAACAAGTTAAAGTGTTAGTAATGTACATAGTTTTAATACAGTATTAAAGGTGTTATATCAACTACATGCACTCAGAGAATCTAAACTGAATGTCCTACTTCTGAAGAAAAGCTCCTTTTAATGTTGTTGTGTTATTGGTTATACATTGTTTTTGTAACTATTAATGTGTAATGATTTAGCTGCATTTGATAAGTGTAGCTTGTCAAGGGTAGTTTAATGTTAACTACATAATATAATGCATCAAATATTTGATATGTTTCCTGTTTATTTTGATTGTAGCCTAAATCTGGGAAGTATGGACATATTTAGTATAGTATAGAAAGCATTGTTGACTTGTACTGTTCTTTAAACTATCCTGTAAATGAGCCTTTTTGTGATCATTTTATAAACGTGAACAAAAGAGAAGTTAGTCAATACAAAAACGAATAAAACAATTAAGGCTTTTTTTTTTTTTTTCCGCCATCCCCTCTTATCAGAGCCACTCCTCTTGAACTGTAAACTATTTGTCCACTCCTCTCTCGGCTCTGTCTCGCCAAGATGCCATCATGACAGAATCAATGCGAGTCTCCTGACTGTTAGTCAGCATGCTGAGGAAGCGCTCGCACACATTTGTCTTCTTTTGATCGATAAAGAGTAGAAACTCAGAGTCATAATGAATGGACCGTCTCAGCAGGGTCTAAATATACTTAGTCACATCAGTTGTGGCCTCAATACAGGGGAATGAGGAGAGACACTACGTCTTTGTGCTAGTTTGTACAGGATAGTGTCTCATTCCTGCACTCCTGTAGAATTCATTTATATTCCCCTTCGTATGCAGACTTAATAGATAATAAAATAATCTAGCCTTAGTCTTTAGAAAAGATCATCAAATCCATATTAACACAGGTATGACATATATTTGAGCTACATTTTCCCACCAATATTTTAGGACATTTTATGATAAATACTTTTATTCATCCATCTAGAAATCCCCTAGATCTGGTAGTGCTTTTAGGATTGAATTCCTATAAAGTATTAGTTTAGTTCCCCTGTGGACCGGAGTTCTTACTCATTCATTATGTCCTTACATGTTAAGACTCTGGTTCTGGTTAGAAGATGCTCCGTAGTCCTAAGAAAAGGAAAAGTCTCACAACAGTGAAAGTTATAACGCACACTGTGTCTGACACCAACTGAGAGACAAATCTACAATAAGTTGTCCACCACTGGTGTTACATACAGTAGCCGAGGTCATTTCAGTAATTCCTGTATGTCGTTTCTGTTTTCAGTCTTTCCTGTTTTCCCAGCTCTTGAGTCTGTACATTTTTTTGTAAGGGACAGCAGAAAGTCAACCGAAACATTGACACTTGCAGTGAGGCATTACAGTATTGAAGATGAATTTTACACGTATAGCCAGAGCGATACTGTATTCAGCAGCCTCAAATAGGGCTGTTAAACAACCATAAACATAAATAAGTTACAAGTTACAGTATCGTAATGTCAGAGCATGTAATAAACAAAAACAATTTAAAAAGATGCCTATGGCAACATGCAAAACAAAACAAATATCTACTTTACATGAAATCTACATTACCCTAAGACCGACCTTTTTGAGGACAGAAGTTTCAGTTTCTGTTTGTATGAGTTTACAGTCGGGACGCTTGAATTATGAAGTCATCAGAAATCCCTGTTGTGCATTTTTTTTTTTTTCAAAAGATCTAAACGAGGTCCGAGCTGAAAGATTTTCAGCGTTAATCTTCGGATTGTGCGTTCGGTGTTCCAGGTTGAGCTGCGATGATGGCGGACCACGGTGACGTCAGTCTGCAGCCGGAGGAGCGAGTCCGAGCGCTGACCAAGAAGGGCAGCTCAGTGGAGGTAAATGAAGATGTTCCTCCACGCCGCTACTTCCGCTCTGGCATGGAGATGATCCGCATGGCCAACGTGTACACAGAGGAGGGCAACATCGAGCACGCCTTCGTCCTCTATAATAAATACATCACGTGAGTGTTGACTTAGCTGATTATCAGCTTTTAATGAGCTTTTCATTGTATTTGGCTCGCTCTTAAGTAATTTGTCCTTTGTTCTGATGTGTTTGGTCCTGCTTCTAATAAATAAATACTGGAAAGAAAAACAAACACATTATCAGGAGTAACTGAATTACTTCCATCAAAAGTCAGACTTGTTTGTCTGAAAACAGAAGGATTACAACATGTGCTACCTCCGATGAATAATGGGCAGTTGGGTGAAGCCAACAAGAGGCAACATAGTCTATAGTTTCTTGGCGCAGGAAAACACAAATATTCATCAGTGAATACCAAAAAACATTCTTCTTTTTTCCAAAGTCTCTTTATAGAAAAACTTCCAAAACATCGGGATTACAAGACGGCTAACATCCCAGAGAAGAAGGACACACTAAAGGTATGAAACCAGTGTCTGTTCGTCGTGTTTAACAGATTTGTATTGTTTGCAATACATTTTTAAGATCCACATTTTGCTCAATTTTCTTTTCTTTTGTAGAAACTGAAGGATATTGCGTTTCCTCAAGCAGAGGTTCTGAAAAAAGCTCTTCTGAAGAGATATGAAGAAGATTATACACACTATCTTGTCAAAAAGGTAATCTGTTTTACAAACAGAGATTTGTTTCTTTACAAGCATTTATTCTTGCTTTTTACGTTTGTTCATTTCGCTGCTTTAAGCAACATATTGAGTTTAAAATGTGAGGAGAAATTATTACTGTAAATAGTTTAGGTTTTGCAGATATCCTATGATTAGGTCGCGGCTCATGTTTGTGTTAACTTGTATTTCTCTCTTACCATGTTACTCACGGTAAACATGTTTTTCAATGTGAACCTTGAACTGGGCCGGCGCATGCGCAGTGTGTCGTGTATGTGCGGCGAGACTGGCTGCAGTCTGTTCTGTGTCCACCGGGAGGTGAATAAAGTTTCAACACCAAATTAACGTCGTGTTTATTACAGTTAACAGTATGGAGGCTAATTTTCCTTGTAAAATGTGTT